ACCGGGCTACTCAGGGGCCTAGAATCTCGTTGGCCACCGTGGACACTTAATCCTCAAGAAATCAAAAGAACCACGTTATGAATTAAATACCAGCTTCAGCTCTGAGAGTCCCTAGACAGAAACAGCATGATTAAGACTGACATTTGAATATCATCTCCTCTATCTACTAGCTGTGCGGCTTTGGGTCAATCACTTAACCTCTCTGAGCCTCATACTTAAAAAGCGGTAACAGGATTAAATAGATAACAATATAAAGCTCTTAGCACATTGCCCGATATATACTAAGTGCTATGCAACACACTCGCCTCCAACTACTTACAGCAAGCTTCTTCCTGCAAGCTGTGTGGCTCACTCCTTCCATTCTATCTTATCAGTGTGCCTTCCTTACGACCCTAAATAAATAATAGCCCCCCCACCCATAAAACTGTGTCTCCCCTAACACTCTTCATTTTTGTCCATAACCTAAGCATTACCTGATATTTTACACATATACACACAGGGAAAGTCATATACACAAAAATACACATACACATATATTTACATATGCCTAACGTAGATTCTTATTTAATTTGGGAGTCTTGTTCACCTTAAAGGTAAACTCCAAGAAGGCACAGCTTTGGTTTTGTTGACTGCTGTTATCTTTAATGCTGGTAACAGTGGTGCATGGCAATGCAAGGAGTGCTAAAGGCTAATAATAAATGCTAAGGCAATGAATAAACAGAAGCTATTTTTCATATAATGGCTGGAAGGGCCAACCAAGAGCAAAGTTCTTCACAGTTCAGGAAATAGAGACCAGAGACATCAGACGATCTGCCCTCTGGTTCCTGCTTCCCCAGAACTGAGTGGCAGGGGCTGGGGACCCTGACTCCTGGTGACTTTGCTCTGTCTTGAGCCATCCCACTTGGGGTGACCATAGACCAATCACAGAGGTTGGTACCCGGTGCTTCCCGTCTGAGGAATGAAAATAACCAGACAGCCCTCCCTCCCAAGTGCTGGGGACCTGGGTTCCCCTGTGACTGGCATTCCACAAAAGCAAAACAGGACCGGTGGAGATGCTAAAGCCGGTTCTATCAACAAACGCTCTGAGTTGGAGATCTGCAGACAGCTGCAGCACAAAGGAGGCAAAGGCCACTCTGTTTCTCTCAAACCCACAAACATCACAGACCTCTTAGCTCCCTGCACTGATTGAAGGCAAGCAACTGCAGTACTATTTCTGGGGCTCCGGGATGACTTGTTCTTGTGTAAGTCCATAGGAACAAACCCCACTCCCAACTTTACTCTTCCAAGGTGCATGATCTCCCACGGCACCAACTTTCATCTCTTGGGATATAGCTGGACACGCCACATGTACCTAGCAAGCACAGGACAACACTGATGTATTACACCGCTTATAATCAGAGTCAACCTCGCCATCTACTCTCCATTCCAACCACTGCCCCCTAGAGTTATTAAACAGAGGGTCTTGCAGAGGATGGGGCTATTCCGCCTTAGAAATCTAGCACCACCCCCATTATTTCATTCAAGTAGAGTGGGAAGAAATAACAGGCTCCGAGCCACTCAAGACCTCACATGGCCATTCAGGACCTCACATGGCCCTTCAGGACCTCACATGCCCAAAAAAGGCAGATTTCAGCTTGAGTGCACCAGTCACCCAAGTCTATTTCCAGAAAGTGAGGTCTAGACCAGAGTTCACTGCAGATTGAGGAGATAATATACCCAACAAAAATATCTTGTGTCCATTCCACTAACCAAATAATCAACTCTAAAATATTGAGGCCGGTTATCACCATTAACAGAACGTGGTGACTAAATGAATCTGGTGCTTAGGCTGTGAGTTGATCCAGTTCCTCAACCTCTCTGAACCTTAGTTCTGTATAAACAGAATAGCGAAGTCTACCTTTGGGGGCTAAGGGATTAAAAGAGAGAATTCGGCTCAGCACAGTGCCTAGGACATCAGCAGCTGCCTTTAATATTCCAGAAGCGCAGTGAAGTAGCTCCAAAAGTACACTGTGTACAGCAAAGGCAGCTCTTTCCCAGACCACAGACCAAACCAGACCACTCCGCCATGGGCCACAGGTTGGAGCAAGCATTAACTCCACCGGAGGCCTCCAGAAAACTTAGGAAGTGAGTGGGTTGGGGTTGGGAGCCGAGCATATATAAGGGTGCAGAAAGGCAGCTCCTGAGGAGGAGGGTGCACGTCGGAGGAGGGAAGGATATTCCCCATGACATTCCTTGCACTGAGGGACTGTTACTTTGGCTTCCCAAGGGAAAGTGCCACCGCTTAAGACTTGGGATTTCTAGAATGTTCCTGCATCACTACAGTTCAGTTTAGCCTACTTAAGGGAGGGGTAGGGGGTGTTCCAAGAGCCCTCAGCGAGTTCCAAGAGCTGGTCTCTTTGGCCTACTGCCGTGACCTCTCCGGGCCTCAGTGTCCCCCTGGACCTCCAGGCTCAGGATCGCTGCCTCTGCAGGGAGGCGCAGGCTGCGGCGGG